ACTACTTTGGCCTGGCAACTCTCCAGACTGTAACTGTATTGAGCCATGCTGGTTCTACATGAAGAGAGAGACTACAAAGAAAGGAGCTCCACAGTCAAGAACGGAGGCAACTAGAATCTGGCTAAATTGCTGGAGAGATCTCCCACAAGCTAAGATCCAAGCTTGGATTGAGCGTATTCTTATACATATTCCAAAGATAATTGAGCTACAAGGTGGTAATGAGTATATAGAGGGGAGAGATAGGCGTTGTGTAGGAGAGCGGCCAGATTTCGGCTAAATTATTCTTGGCAGGACAAAACTTTTGTGAGGCACCTCCGTAACTGAGAATATAATACTTAGGTTATTATAACCCCCCCCTTAATCTTGTTACATAAAAAGTAAGCAGCGAGTAGTAGTTTCGATATACCAATTGATTTATGTTTGCAGGAGAGTGAGAACCTTGGTTGAAATATGTGCTCGACCATTGAAATAGACTTTTTTTTTGGCTTAGCTTATGGGGAGTAAGCTTTGAAAATGCCGTTGGCCGAGTATAAAAAAGATGATCTGACAGGGTGGGTTATGGATTGCTTGGATTAGCAGTCACTGGCATAGTATACACTTGTTAGCTTCACAGGTCTTGTAATAATACACAAATATAAAGCAGCGCTTACACCATACAACACACACACACATTGGGATAGCGCTTAGGTCATGCCACGCAAAGCGAGACCAAACCCCCCCCCTTACTCGTGACCATCTTGCACGGCTCAGAACCCGGTATCCCGTCACGCGACGTTTGTATTTTGGCGACTTCTTCCGGTTGGTGTTTTGGTGCCCCCATGTCTATCTAGGGACGCGTCGCCTTGCAGTCTACAAAAGATTGTCGCCTTTTTGTACAATTCAATATCCAAGGCTGCGCTCTGATAGGTAAGGTTTGATGTGGTCGGCTTCTTGTCGATAGCGCTCCGTCTTACTTGCAAGTTCCATTACGCGTCCGGATTTCGTGCTGACATGTGTTTCTGTCAGCCACTGATAGAGAAAGAAAGAAGAATGAAGAACTGATGATTTCTATTTTTTTTCTTCTCCCTCCAATCAAAGTTGACGATTAGGAATATAGTAGTTTGATGGGGCGAGATCTTTTGATATAGCGCGTAGCAAGTGTTTTACACAATGATATATATTCACGCCATTGGTTTCCTTGGAAAAACCCATACTGGCCGCTTCTTACATTGTCGAAGCCTTTTTCCAACTCACTGCGCTAACAAGACAGAGTCGGAACGCAAGTAACCTCTATGAGAAAGTCGCAGGAACACTATTGTTTTTTTTTGCCGTACATAATTAGCATGGTGAGTTTCCCTCTAGGTAATACGTGGATACGCAGTACAATTTCTCGTTGACGTGGACAGTAAATAAGCCAAACAAAAACCCCCCAAGTTTTTTTTTTTTTTAGGGGATCCGGTTACACCGTAGGTGATCCTCTGAAAATCCAACTGCTGCTCTCCAAATTACAGCACACGCTGGTAATGGTTGTAGAGAGAAACGAAATCCTAAGTCGGGTAGAGCTTAGAGAGATGACAGGAGTTGAGTAGATTCGTGTGGTGTGACGTGATGTGATTCGTGTGTCAATCTTTCCCCAACACGTGGCAGGACATGGAATTGGGACTAGGGATAAATGGCTTTACTGGTGGACAGGCAAAATGCAGATGAAGGAAAAAGGGTTTTTTTTATTGAATGCAATGTTGGTTTAAGGGGCTATGTACCTGCACTAGGGGAATGCTGGGTATGATGTGTATCGAGTGCGCGCGCATAGGAGGGAAGATTCTCCCGTATACAACAACGCACAACCATGGACTCGATCTGGCAGCACTTGGTAAAAACATGATTACGGAATGATTAATGCAGACATGGCCCAGACAGGAGCGCAATGGAGAAAAAAGAGGCGTCGTGATTATCTAACGTTTAGTGTTGCCTGTTCTTGTTGAGGCGTGTCAAGTACACAACCCCGCCTGGGGCCGCATAACAACGCGTCGAGCTTGACGTAGCATGTGGATTTGGCGTTGAGAGCTGCTCTTGGGCAGAACAAGGCCATGAAGCGGTGTATACAGAGGGGCTCCTCCTTTTGTGAGAAAATTGAAGGACGGACACCAAGAGCGTGGTGAGAAGGCGACTTTGCACAGTCGTGCCTCGTGGAGCGCGTGACCATGGCATCCCCACCTGACACCCCCCCGACACGTCATCGACTTGACACGATTGCCAGAAGGTTTGGATGGTAAGAGGCGCACGGCAACAGTACATGGCAAGAGATATGTCCAGCATGTCGTTGGCGCCTCAGCATTGCATTTTCAGGCGTGTCGGGGTCGGAGGAACAGTGTCGCGGTGCGCAGGCGAAACACGACGGAAGAGGGCGGAGCACCGGGCGCCGAGTCTCCAAACACCACCAAACCTAGCGTTGCAATCGGACATGGCAGATTGCCAAGGACATGCCGACTGGAGAGGAAACAGGGATGACATGAGAAACAGGCTCAGGCGGCTCGAGGGGCGCGCTCCTGTGCCAGTCATGACGGCTTACGGGCAGACGTTTTCGCGATAGCCTGCTGCGGCGGCTGGACTGGAGTTGAGCTGGACGAGGCCTTCAGCCCATGCCGAGGGCGAGCAAAAACAGCATTCTGGGGAGACTGCGGGCAGCGGAGACGGGCGTGGACAGGAAGCGCTCGACACTGGGGGTGCTGACAGGCGTCGTGTGCAGGCAAAGCTTATGGCGTGTAGGGGCGACGGGCAGGGCAGGCCGTGGGCACCAGAGGGGCGAGGACGAGAGCGCTTCTCGTGGATGGCGGCCACGCGCGCCGTGACGAAGGGGCCGCGAGGGGCATTGGACCAAGATGGAAAGCAAATGAGACAAGATCACCCTGACGCGCTCCAGGTCGCTGAAGGGGAGCGAGAGCTAGCGCACTTTTGCGGGTTGGGAAAAAGAGCGCATTTGGATCACACAGGCCCGCGACGTGGTATAAATTGGCCGCCCCCCCACCTGCACGCGCGCTCTTGCCCTATCGCAGACTCAGACTCTCCTCCACCACCACCACCACGACCATCCCCGTTGCTTTTGACCCGCTGCCTTTTGCTCCAACGCATCCATAGCCTGCCCATCGCCTCCAAGCCCACCCACAATGCCTCCCAAGAAGTCCACCACCCCTTCCAAGCCCAAGGCGTCGGCTTCTGCGCCCGCCCATGGCTCCTACATCGGTACGTGCTATATCGCCCTGGCACCGCACCACAGCCGTGTGCCCGCCCTGGGCGCCGCTTGCATCGTGGTCGCCGGCCAATGCTGACTTGATTTCGTAGACATGGTCAAGGATGCCATCATCAACGTGAGTCTATTCTCCCAGGCGCATTGCCAGTTGCCCCCCGCACCGCCCATGGCGACGCCAGCGCATCAGCGCGCCAAACACAACAACACACGGCCGGCCCTGTACCTCTTGTTGAATGTGATTACTGACGTGTTCTTTTCGCGATACAGCTCAAGGACCGCAATGGATCAAGGTTAGTCGCCCAATCTCCCACTCGGTGTTGCTGTCGCATCGCGTCACGCTCTCGTCTCAGCACGCCCCCTCTAAGCGCTCCCACTAACCTTTGCCTGCAGCCGTCAAGCCATCCAAAAGTACATCAAGGCCAACAACCAGCTCGGCAACCTGACCGACGTCGCCTTCCGCGGCCATGTCAACCGTGCCATTGCCTCTGGTGAGGAGAGGGGTGACTTTGCGCGTCCCAAGGGTAAGTGTTTCTCTTTGCACCAGTTCAACATAGCACCTTGATTCGTGACGCGTCTTTGCTGTGCTCCCCACCATCACTCTGTATCAACACTCCACTTGCACAATTCTAACATGTCACCCAGGCACATCTGGGCCAGTCAAGCTTGCTAAGAAGGAGGCTAAGCCTGCTGCTGCCACCAAGAAGTCTGACTCCAAGGCGGAGAAGAAGACTACTGAGAAGAAGACTGAGAAGAAGACAGCCGACAAGGCCACTGACAAGCCCGCCGAGAAGAAGACAGCCGACAAGGCCACTGACAAGCCCGCCGAGAAGAAGACTGCTGAGAAGAAGGAGAAGAAGCCTGCCGCCCCTAAGAAGGAGAAGGCCACTGCCACAGTATGTCTTGCGCTTTTGTTCATGTCAACTGTAACTAACGTAATTTGTAGAAGGAAAAGACGGAGAAGAAGCCTGCTGCCCCTAAGAAGGCCGCTGGCGCTGGTCGTCCCAAGAAGGAGAAGACCGAGAAGAAGACTACCAGTGCTGCTAAGCCCAAGGCCAATGCCAGCAAGCCTCGCAAGACTGCTGATAAGCCCAGTGGCGACGCTGACGTGCTCAACAAGACCAAGTCTGGCCGCGTGACCAAGGCTAAGCCTGCTGCCGCCAAGAAGGCCGCTGGCACAACAACAAAAAAGGAGCCCGCAGCCAAGAAGGCTGCTGCGCCTAAGAAGGCCACGACACCCAAGAAGAAGACGACGCCCAAGAAGGCTTCACCAAAGGCGGCCGTCAAGGCATGAGGTTGAAAGCCCTTTTTTCTCTTCGTCCCTTGTTGATATCGTTTCCTTTTGACGTGCTTCAGTCGTGCAGCGAAGCGCATGCTAGACTACACTTTCTTCACGGATTCCCTTTAAATTAAGTCTATGGGTTCTATTGGGCTGGGGGCGGAACAAACAGCGTTGATACCGGTGGGGAACACCAACGGATGGGATTAGGGTTTCGCGCGGTGTTGGGTTTGTCTCTCTCTATCTCTCTCCATCTCTGTGTGTGTGCAAGGCACTCTTCTTACGTCGAGTCGTATGTTGGCAGGGCGTTTTTTTGGGGGGGCGGGCGCGTCTTTGTTTTCAGTCTTGCAGCGCGCATGATCGGGTCCTTGTCTCTTTTTTTCTTGTTCGTTTTGTTTTGTTTTTCTCACCCTCTCCCACCCGCGCCCGGCAGTCACATATACATACGCGGCACTTGGGAGAGAGGGGGGGGAGAATGTGCCCTTTACGACGTGACGTTATCGTCTTTTTTGCAAAGCAAAAATGAAAAACTCAAATAATATTTTACCCAATTTCTTTCTAACTCCACATGGCGTTGTCTTGTTGTTTTGGTTGGGGGAGGACGCGGGTTTTTAAGTCACGTGTTGTGTTGTTTTGATGCGACGCGTCGATGGCCCACAAGATGAGATGAGATGAGATGAGATAAGATAAGACGAGTGCGAGGCGAGGCGCTCGGGGCATCTGTTCTTGGCTGTGGATGGAAGCATGCTGAACTCGCTACCACTTACCACCAACTGTTCAAGATCCCTCTCTATACATACATGTAGGCGCTCCTTGGCACATACGACTGAATCCTGCGAGCAAAAAATTATCAACGAGCTATTATACTTACAGCTCCCGCGAGCTGCTTTTCCTAGCCTGACTGATTCACATACACACACACACACACACACACCTATCCATCTCTCCAGGAAAGCTGAATAATACATCGATTGCCACATGAAAGCATTCCAGAGAATCCACATACACACGTGACCGTAGAGGTAAGTAGAGCAAAAAAGAGTAAGGAACACAGATACATAAGTAGTAGTTTCTCGTTTGAACGGAACCAGCGGAGTGAGCATCTGAACTTATACTATACAAATCACTAAAAACACAGTATCAAGGACAGTAGAGGAATGGGTTGTGTTGGGTTGGCAGAGAGCCTCGAACATATCTATTCATATATACAGATAAGCATCATGGTAATCTAAAACATAGCAAGATGCTTCTAATGGCAATAACTAGGGTGTTTAAACCCCCCCCCCCAAGCCGCTCGACAAAACATAATCGATGAACTTTTTCGTAAGTTTTTGTGGTTATTGTTGTTGTTGTTGTTGTAAATGTCTGGCCGTTGGGCATGTTCGTGTGTGATTTGGTTGGTTGGTTGGTTGGTTGGTTTAAGATGTGCTGTAGGCGCACTTGACGGGGTCGACGGCGTGGACAGCACGCGCCTTGAACTTGGTGCACGTGTCGAAGGAGCCAGTGGGGTTGTCCCAGCCCTGGAGCCAGATGGAGTACTTTGCGCCGACGGCCGGGGCGCAGGCCTGGAAGCCCGTGTCGTCGGCGTTGACGCTGCGGAAGACGAGGTAGCCGTCGTCGTTGACGACAAAGGTGGTGCGCTCGCTGTTGCGGCCTGCGGGCTGCACGCCAGTCGTGTACTGCATCAGGCCGCGGCCCATGCCGTCGCGGTACACGGCCATCTGCTGGGGTGGGTTGGCCGTGTACAGGTACAGGGCGTTGTCGCCGATGACAAAGTCGGCGTAGTTGTGGGGCTTGGGGCCGCACGAGGCGGTTTGGTTGGTGCCGCCCATGAGCAGTCCGTTGGCAGAGGCTTGCCACCAGAGGCCGTCAAAGTCGGTGCCAGGGGCCTCGGCAATCACATTGAAGACCTGGTTGGACTTGACAATGTCGTCGGCGGCGGCCAGAGGAGCGGCGGCGGAGATGGCAGCCAGGGCAGAGGCGGCGGCGGCGGTGGTGAACTTCATGTTGATTGTATGTTTGTGGTGAAGATTAATTCGATTAGGTGATTAGAGGTAGTGATTGAAATGAGATGGATAGGTTGTGCAAGTGCAGACTCAAGTTATAGGAGATGGTGGGACGAGGATAAGCTCCCAATTTGCGAAGTCTGGCCGTCGCTTATATACGTAGACAGAGCTCGTATTCCAAGAGGAGGCGATATGGCCCTGTGCGCGCATCCTACGTACTTTGCTAGCCTAGCTGTCCGCTGTCCGGGAGGGCCAAGTGAAGGGATGGACAGTGGGCTCGGCCGATTTACGCAATATTACTCCATGAAGTCATGTAGTATTGGTTGTTATTGACACATAGCGTGCCGTGATGTCATGTGCGCATTGATTATACGGTTGTTGGCATTCCAAGCACACACAGCTGCTGGATCATGTATCTCTGTGTGTGTTGACATGCATGCACAAGTCGAGAGAGAGGATATTGCTGTATAGGCCTTCCCTCCGCTTCCCCCTATCGTGTGCCATGGACCCAGGCGCATGGAAAACGACAGCGCACGAGAAATTGACAGGCGGTCGTGTTGCATGGAGCATGGCAGGGCATGGCATTGTGGGTTGCACGCGCGAATTGCAGCTGCAGCGTGCAACCCAGTCTGACTCTGATCTATTCTTGTCCACCGGCGTGCCAAGCGGCTTGGCGAGCCAATGGGGTTGTCCCGGTAGGCGAGAGGCCCCACCAACTAGGCTGTGCCGCTAGACCCGTTGCAAGCACAAGCGTCGTTTTTTTGCCTCCGACCCACGTCACCGCCTCTGACTTTGGATTTAACACCTCAATGCAACATCTTTACACAGACCACGGACAACGGGGGGGGGGGAGGGAATACAACCAGCCCCAGCCCTGTGCCGTCGGTGGCAGTGGCGCGGTTTACTAACTCAAGCTCCGAAATATGGGGACTGCTGGACCGGTTTTGCAGGGCCCAGGACTCGTGTTTTTGGGGTACCAGTGCCAGACCCCGAAGCTGTACATACACGCGAGGTGACTTTTACTTATTTCCCCCACAATGATGCAAAGCGCATTCCTTGTCTGGCAATACCCGCCACACCCAGCCCGCTAGCATCGGCAGAATAGCAGTAGCTTGCATCCTATTCTGGGAGCTTGCGCTACGGGTACAGCCACACATCACACAATCACCGTACTAGGTGTACTGTACTATACTCTTTTGCGGGCCCCGTTTTTTATTTTTAGTGTTATTTTGCCACAGCCCACCTGCTTACGGGAAACTCGGCATTCCCATCGTACACACGCTGCTCATGCACCGTATCCAGACAGACACTAATATTCAATATTGCAGCTGCCTACACTACACCTAGCTGTACAGCCTTGTGTGTGTGTGTGTGGTGCGCAAATGTAACGCAAGCTGAAATGCTCGTATTATGTCATACAAATGCGCTGGCTTGGTGAGAAATGCTGTGCTGTAGCCCGCGCGCCGTTAGAACGTGCTTCTAAACACTAAACTTTCTTTGGGCTGAGAAAGGACGTTAAACTACAATAATAATAAACACTAAACTGCTTTCGCAGCAATATTACTAACGTGCAGGGTCAGTAAGCTGGGCAGATCAGTAAGCTGGGCACCCCACCAAACTTCGCGCGACGTTCTGCGCAATTGAGCCACAACAACGTATTAAAATAATATAAAATTAAGATATATAGTTTACTATTTAGCTCTACATGAAGTCTAAGTATGTCCTTTAACGTGACACTTCGTGCACGTTAGCGGCGCGCGCCAACGTCGCTCACTAGCCTAGTTCTGGCTACCCCCTATAAGTAACCTTTCTGCCTCTGCCACAAGCTGCTGAGCCTGCTGCACCTGGAGTACCCCACTAGAAGCAATATATTAACGCTGTTGATCTTGCTTTTGCCGCTAACGCTGGTTCTTTTCACGTAGCTTCTTATTCTCCTCTGCAAGTATCGTTGCTAATTGCATTGTAAGCTAAGCGCTCTTAGCAAGCTGGCGTATCGCAACGCTTGTTGGACTCTCTGGCTGCTGGCGCAGTCGCTCTTAGAGATACCGCACCTGCTGCTGAAGCTCTGCTACTGTATGTGGTGTCTCTGTCTGCGTTACTGCCTGCGCTGTAGTGTTATTATCTGTGGTTGTCTGTGGTGGAGACGGTGTTCTGGCTACTGTGAGCGACGATAGAACGCGATCTAGACAAGGAGGGACAAGCCCTGTCGCCCGAAAGCCTGCCTGGATATTCTGCTGCGTAAAAATCTTCAGCCGGATCCGTGTATAGGCTGCAAGGAAGTCTATCTTGTCAACGTGGTAGACCCCATGCTGGGCGAGCTCCTCAACCTCGCGTCCGTACGCGCGCTTAAGAGGAGAGTAGCAGCTCACATCTAGAGGCTGGAGGAGGTGCGACGTGTGAGGCGGCATACAGAGAGTGATAATCTTATTCTTAGTG